ATGGCAGTTATCGAATTCAATCAAAAATATTTTTATCAATAGATGATAAAAATATTATGAATATATGATAGACGCATAGAGAATTTTCGTTAATGTTTTAGTTATATTGAATATTATTAATAATAGTACTATTACTACTACTACTACTACTGTGGTGCGCGCTACTTATAAGTAGTATATGACGTGAGTGTCAACGTAATGTCTGGCAGCAGAAGATGGGGGAAGATCAAGAAAGGAAGAAGAGCGGGAACACGATGGAATTTGTATGAAACGCATGAATAGTGAAATGTCAGACAGTGGATTGATGATGGATTGAAGATTTTCAAATTAACCATTTACGATATGGTTTGATTGTCGGACATTGCTTTTTGCCTATCAACGATATAGCTGCCCCTGTATCGATCAAACACACTAACTCATGTTCATTTATGTACACTCTGGCATAAATTGTCCCTCTATCTACTAGTGCAAGATCCACCAGATTCCTAGGGCAGAAAGAACACACGTTATGTCTAAAATATCGTCGTCGTCTTGTTGGACAGTTTATCTTCGAATGTCCTGCGTCTCCACAAGCGTAACATTTATCGTTCCTTTTATGATTCATTCGTATTGCTTCAAGCTTACGCTCCATGTCTTCAATCTTCTTCTCAACAGTATTTATCTACTGCTTCTCGTACCCGACCGAAACTACTGTTCGTGTCATCAGCTGACGAGTCAACTTCGCCAGTTCCCCGATATCCATATGTTGCGCTGCGTTTACTAGTCTCAGCTGCTGGGACAAGGCGGCAGGCACACTCTCAATAAACTGCGACGTCAACGATTGTGCCTCCGACTCCTCATCGATATTCGGGAGAGCACGGCGCAACAATCTGATGAGCTTCACAGCAAGCACCAGCGGGTCACCATCAGCCTCGCCGACCGGAACTCCAGCAGCGCTTTCTCCCTGTCCACTGGGCTGTCGAACTCCGTCATCAGCCGCCCGGGGACCGTCTCCCACGTCGTCTCCCCGCCAGCGCCGTTCAAGCTGTCATATACGACCTTCGCCTTCCTCTCAGCAGCGTCCCCAGCACCACCAGCTTCGCCTTCGGCTCCTTCACACCCACTAGCTCCGCCACGGCCTCAAACTTTCTCAGGAAGATCCGCACATCTCCGTCCTCAAATTCCTTTGGCCATGGTATCTTCATCCTTTATTTAGGCAGTGAGACCAAATGTAGTGAAGGAGAACAATCGAATTGTATTAGTCACAAATTACAGAGTTACTCAGTAAAATAGTAAAATCATATCGTAAATCGTTAATTTGCAAATCTTCAACCAATCATTAACCCATTGTCTTACATTTCACTATTCATGCGTTTCATACAAATTCACTTGTGTGCCCCCCACTCGTTCTGTCTTGATCTTCCCCCGCATCTTCTGCTGCCAGACATTACGTTGACACTCACGTCATATACTACTTATAAGTAGCTCGAACCACACTACTACTACTAGTACTACTCCTACTACTACAGATAATCGTACCAAATAAACAAAAATGAATGTTTTGAAAAAAACATTGACAATTGAAATTGTAAAGGAATGTGTATTAGAAGATTCAATGGTGAAATTTATCAACGCTAGTCACACTTTATGCAATTGCAGGACAATTGAAAATGAAATAGACTAGATTGTAATAAAAAAGGTTTCCAGTGCTTAATACATTAATAATATTTTTTGAACCCATGGATCGATCAACGTTAGAACACCATTAGAAACCTGGAAGCACTGGAAGACGGCTGTTTCGTCCTGGTATGGGACTCCTCAGTGGCAGTGCGCATCCACGACTCCTGCATCCCGCAGGATTCGAACCCAGGACCTTCAGTATTGTGCGCGCTGGCGGATGCGCACTGCTGAGAAGTCCCATACCAGGACGAAACAGCCGTCTTCCAGTGATTCCAGGTTTCTAATGGTGGTCTAACATTGATCGATTCATGGTTTCAAAAATGTGTAACTTAACAAAATTCACAACCCCGTAAAACAAAAATAATAATAATTCATGAAAAAAATGGTGTTATTTCAATGTAATGAAAGTTTTCAAGTGTTCAATAACAAGAGATTGCATGATTTCGCGTAAACAATCAATGATTATCCATAGCTTGTATTGCGTAATTATAATTTCAAAAGTTTGTGAGAAGTGATAATTTATGAGAATATAAATGAAAGATAATCGTCTAGTTTGTGAAAGAATAGAAGATGAAGGTGCTAATTAGTATATTGATAATTTGTGAGAATGCAAAGAGGGGGTGGTAGAATTGAACAAAACTCTCCTTCTGTACACATAGTTTAAGTTTGAAATGATAGCGTCAACTAGCCGGTTCGTTTCACTTTATGGAGAATTTTAAAAGACGATTCATGTAGTGGGTTGTGATTCGAGTTGACTCTATGGTGATATATATAGATATATTCGTGGAAAGTACTAAATTCATTTGAAAACAAAGTTCACTTTTAGACTTTATTATATTTAGATGTAAGCAGTTGACAATAATCTGAGATGAAGGAGAAAATTTGTAGCTCAGTTGGATGATTGTGTTAGTGTTTCTTTCTCTCTGAGCTGGATGTTTTGGTTGTGGAGCTTTCATTGTTCTCCTGTTGAACAACATCATCAGCACAAACTTCAGATAGAAGAAATGAAGTATTCGAATTTCTCCGCGTTTGACCTGTAGCTTGTTGTGCTAAGCTCAATCTTGATTGTTTGCTGTTGACCTTGTTTTCACCTTTGGTTTGATTGTATTCCCCTTTTTGATCTATTTCTTGATCCTATGTCACTTATGATTTTCCCTGATTGGTTGATAAATTGGGTCAATGTCGATGTGTTTGTTGACTGCTGATTGACCTGAATGCCAAGCTTCTAAAAATTCTCTAGTGCTCTTGGTCTGCAGGCTTGTGGACGTCCAAAAAGCACGCACACGAGCAGTGGCCCCCGTTCGGGCACTTATGAATCAACAAGATCCCTCCAACCAGTCCACTACCCACAATCCCTAATCGGCAAGGGGGACAAGGCGAGCTTACCCAGCTGAACCTGGCAACCCGAAGAGGATTACCGAGCCACCCAAGCAGTGCACAAGCCAGCAACCGTTCCAACCGTCCGGCCTCCAACTGCCTTGCGCTGATACAATCGATCAGAGTCCCCAATGCCCCACATGAAGCTAAAGATCCAGTTTGTCCCACAAGGTTAGCCAGAACGTACACCCTCCCACGAGGAAGATGTCATGAGCTCGACCAAGCGCAAGCGCTCAGCCAAACAGGGTTCATTCCACTACGTAAGTAGGCAGACATCATTGGCGTCCAGTACCAGTTCAGCACTGGAAACTCCGGAACCCTACTGGAGACCCTTATTTAAGGGGGCCTCGACGCCAGTTCACACACTACATCGGGTGCAGAGTGTAAGGGACAACCACATAAGGTCGGCGTCAGTAGTCCAGGATGTCTACGACTGCTTCCCCAAACAGCACTTCCAGAGTCCCGCCTTCAATCATCCTGGAAAGCTACATCCCTTTCAGTGTTACTACGTTAAAAGATGATATAATGACAACATGGAGTTGATTCTCAATGAACTGATAACAACAACTTACTACAATTAATTCAATCGGTATTGTAAATCGGATTTTAGCTGAAATTTTCGGATTGATAAAATGTTTGAAACACCAGATAATGATGATACATATAATTGATATTAACAATGTGACCAGATTGGTTTCTTTGATAATATGAATAAAATTAATCAATATCTATAAATGAAATGCAAAAAAAAATCAATAATTCATTCATTCATTAATTGATAAACACATAATACTGTATTCTCCAAAATTATGCAATACAGAATTCTCGCCAGTTTCCACGTATGGTTTTCGATCATAAGTGTCTTCGAAGCATTGCTCGTATATCATGGGACACACGAGTGAGCAACGCTGTTATTAGGAATCGGGTGCTAGGTAAGAATGGAAAATCAATAGATAAAGTAGTAAAACGTCATCACTTTAGGTGGTTGTGACATGTGTTGCGTATACCTAACCACCGACTGCCTCGATGAGCTATGTTTTGTGGTGTAGGAGTAGATTGGAAGAAAGCTAGGGGCGGTCAAACCAAAACATTGCACAAATCCATGAAATCATTGACAAGTGGATTGAGTCATGTTGGTAGATGTAGGCTACCTGGTTGGGGTCCGCGAGATGATAATAATCGATGATTAGAGACCTTGAATGACATGGCTCAAAATCATTCGGAATGGCGCAGGTGCATTTATTCTTTGTGTTCTCTCAGATCCTAATCTTCTGGATTCTTCAACTTTGTAAACTTTTCTCACTGAATCATACTTCTTGAATAATATCTTCTAATCCTAACCCCTCCGATTACTTCTATAATACCTTTACTACCTCTTCTACTATTGGATTTGAATTGACAATTACATCTCTGTGCTAATGTGGTATGGAGACATGAACTGATGTACTTACGTACGAAGTTCTACGTTGCATCTGACTGACTGACTGACACGTATGGTCGGTCAGATTGATGCTGATAGAAATCTGTTGAAATCATGTATCAGTTGGATTGACAGATACCTGGAAGCATTGGATAGTTGTTTCTGTCATTAGCATGAAATTTATCAGCAGTGCATGTCCACGACACCCCCCACATATAAGAATTGAAACCAAGACCTTCGGTCTTGTGTTCGAGCGTTTAACTTCTGGACCACTGAGTCTGCAATCCACTGGTGTTAATTTGATCAATCTAACCTCACCCATTTGTCTTCGTTAGTTACTGCCTACACCTGATGGAGTTGAAATATGCTGGTCACGGATTCTCATTAGAACATCGAGAATTTCTTCACGAATCTACAGTCACTGGTAAACACAGTGTATGATATTCATTATAGTGTTATGGAGAGTGTTATTTCCCATTGAAATCATGAATCAATCATTGTTTGTGCATGAGACCGAAGGTTCTGAGCTCGAATCCATCGTAGATGCGCACTTCTGACAAGTCTCATACTAGGACCAAACCAGTCGTCCATTGCTTCTAGATTACTAGTGTTATTCTAACATTAGTTGATTTATAATTTCCAATTAATCCTTACGTCAACAGGGAACAAATATATACTATGACTTATTTACTAAAATGAAGCTGATAAAGATTAGATCAAATAGATCAAATAACTATCCAATTCAGATCAGAATTCAATCATTACTCAAATCGTGGCATCAATTCATAATTGAAATATTTTCTCTACACTATTTCATAAATATACCCACCATTGGAAACCTATAAGCACTAAACAACTGTTTCTTACTAGAAAAAGAGTCATCAACAGTGCACATCTACAACTCTTCTTCAATAAGGAATTGAACCTAGAGGCTTCGGTCTCGCGTGCAAACGTTTAACTTCTAGGCTATATGAGTCGTCATTCAAGGTGGAATGTTCGTGGTGGTGGTGGTGTTTGGTTCTCTGAGCTGGTTGTTTTCGTTGTGGAGCTTTCATTGTTCTTCTGAACAACATCATCAGCATAAACTTCAGATAGAATGTTCGTCTGTCAACTGACGAGTGAGTATACTCTGAATGAGATAACTTACTAGCTAAGTACACATCATTGTATCCTGGACTTATAGGAGAAAGTGTTGACCTATAAGCAAGAGACTCTAGGTAACAAAGACATAAATCAGTAGCAGTAGTAAAGATCTATTCGTACGTTATCTTCTCCCTTAATACTTAGTTATACTACTTAAACTGAATAACTGATTAATGCCAGTTTCTGGTTGATTTCATAACAGTGACTATCTACAACCATTTGTCATCAAAAATCTAATGTAGCTTATACACATTTGAAATCATCAATCAATCATTGTTAGACCAACATCAGAAACCTGGAAGCACTGGACGGCCGTTTCGTACTGGTATGTAAGACGTGACTAATGGAGTTCAACCCTGTCGGGCGTAGGCAGTAACAACTACCAAAGACAAATGGGTGAGGTCGCGCAAAAATCCGTAGATCAATCAGAGTTAGACATTAACACCGTTGGATGTCGGCCCAGTGGTCCGATGGTTAGGCGTTCGCGCACAATACCGAAGGTCCCGGGTTCGAACCTTGCGAGGTGCAGGAGTCGTGGATGCGCACTGCCACTGATGAATCCCATACCAGGACGAAACGGCCGTCTAGTCCTTCCAGGTTTCTAATGTTGGTCTAACAATAATTGATTGATGATTTCAAATGTGTAAAAACATAAAATCTCCAAAACTCTGCCGGAAAATGTAGCTTATGTTGAATTATTAAAACTACTGATCACATTCAAACTTGGTGGATAAAATTTGATCATCACTAATTAGTGACCAGTTGATTTGAATCAAAAATCAGTCTTCCAGTTAGTTGCAGTTCACAGGACTATGTAATGACCTTTTTAACTATGAAGATGGGTCACACGTAATGGAATCACACAAGAAATATAAACTTCCTCAAATTTGTAAAATATCTCTTATTGATTAGGACTAACCCAACAAGACTTCCTTTCAAATAGTGTGGTTCTCAAAACTTCCAGAAGCCCAAGGTCATGTGAACTCCGTAACCGCATTCATGTTTTTGTACATGAACTAACTTTTGAGTAAAGTGCGCCCTTTTGCGACTTTTCTCTTGTGATTATGCAACTGTGTATATTCAGCTCAAGGAGGGTTTTTAGAAGTGTCTGGCAAACCAGATCTAATGTTCATTTAGCAAACTTATCAGATAGGTAATTATTATGGTGTATGCGTGTGAGATGTGAACGCAATGCGTACTAAGCCCCTAAAAAACTGGTTATCTGAACGAGAAAGCAAAACTGAAATAGAAAGACTATTTGGCTACCCAATAATATGTACAAATACTCGTCTACATTTGTACATGGTAGGGTGTACGTTCCGGCTGACCTTGTGGGACAAACTCGATCTTTAGCTTCATGTGAAGTTTGAGGGCTCCGATGGTATCGATTGTATCAGCGCAAGGCAGTTGGAGGTCAGACGGTTGGAACGGCGGCTGGTTAGTGCACTACTGGGTAGCTCGGTAATCTGTTTCGGGGTGCTAGGTCTAGCTGGAAAAGTCCGCCTTGCCGCCCTTGCCGATTAGGGATTGTGGTTAGTGGATTAGTTGGAAGTATCGAGTTTATTCATAAGTGCCCGAAAGCGAGCCACTGTTCGTGTGCGTGCTTTTTTGGACGTCCACTTGTCTGCAGACCAATCTAAACAACGTGTGCGTTCCCGTATGGGGCAGGGGCGATCGCAAAATCGGCTTTTGATGGAGAATCCTTGTGTTGCCTAAAAGCAGCGGCGTTGGTTGGTGCAGCTGGCTTGTTGGTAAACCAAGAATATGTACATATATATATTACACCTGTTTGAAAATGATTCCGTTTCTTGACCAATGATATATATATTCATCATTAAGGACATTTTCTCATGGCCGTCAAATGACCTTCACATTTGGTCACTTCTGATTGGATAACTAGACCATTGATTTCCGAAGTTATGCTAAGATTCAATATGAATCCCCAATGATTCAATGAGACAACTTTCATAGTAGGATGACACACACATTTAGTAATTTAGTGTTGTTTATTCAAAGTCACTCCACGATATGAAAAAACAGACCATTTTGCAGATAAAAAAAACGAATCCAATCATTGAAATGTACTTTTAAGTCCCGTAACAGTGTGGTGCGAGCTACTTATAAGTAGTATATGACGTGAGTGTCAACGTAATGTCTGGCAGCAGAAGATGGGGGTGAGATCAAGAAAGGAAGAGTTAGAAGAACACAATGGAATTTGTATGAAACGCATGAATAGTGAGTGACAATGGATTGATGTTTTGCAACAGGAACAGACAGTCCAGTTCGATATGATGATGAACTGATATTTTGCAAATTAACGATTTACGATATGGTTTTCCTATTTTACTAAGTAATCCTTTAATCGGTTGCCCCACACCTTGTGTTCTCGTTCACTAAACCAGGACTATAAGGGCCAGGTTTCTAATGGAGTGGTCTAACAATGATTTCAAATGTTCAACATACTTCAAATATATGAATAAGTTAAAAAATAAAATAAAACTCACATAAAAAATACGCAATGGTCCTGTAGCATTATTCAAATGTATGCCGAATAAACCATTCAATTGACTAGCAAATACATGAATAGCTGATGCACAAGTGAAACCACTTAACAATGGTTCCGAGATATAAACGACTAATACACCAAGACGTAGAATACCTAATGTCATCTGTTAGAAGAACAAAAAAAGAAATCATTGAAGAAAACATTATAATCATAAGAGAAAAAGTCGATAATAAGGATGAATATATATGTTAGGCGTTTGCGCACAAAACCTAAGGTCCTGCCTGGTGTGGTGCGCGCTACTTATAAGTAGTATATGACGCGAATGTGTAAACGTAATGTCTGGCAGCAGCAGAAGATGTGGGGGAATATCAAGAAAGGGAGGAAGAGTGGGGGGAACACAATGGAATTTGTATGAAACGCATGAATAGTGAGTGAAATGTTATGCGATGGATTGAAGATTTGCAAATTAACCGTTTACGATATGGTTTTCCTATTTTACTGAGTAACTCTGTAATTTTCGTTAAATACAATTCGGTTCGAATCCTGTGCGGGGTGCAGGGGTCGTGGATGATGCGCACTGCAACTGATGAGCAGTCCGATATGAGGACGAAACGACCGTCTATCAGTGTTTCGAGGTTTCTAATGTTGGTCTAAAATTGATCGATTCGTGGTTTGAAAATGTGTAAATATGTTTTAAAATAAATAATTTTTAAAATTCGTTACAGAAATTCACTAGTTCACATCATTTTGTGGGCGGTAATCGTTCATGAAGTTATTTGTTATTCATTTGACTCATATTGTGGTGCGAGCTACTCATAAGTAGTATATGACGTGAGTGAAAACGTAATGTCCGGCAGCAGAAGATGGGGGCAGATCAAGAAAGCAGGAAGAGTTAGAAGAACACAATGGAATTTGTATGAAACGCATGAATAGTAGTGACAATGGATTGATGTTTTGCAACAGGAACAGTCCAGTTCGATATGATGATGAACTGATATTTTGCAAATGAACGATTTACGATATGGTTTTCCAATTTTACTGAGTAATTCTGTAATTTTCGTTAGATAGAATTCGGTTGCCCCACCTGTGATGATTGGAGATAGGTGAGATACAGGTGGAAATCAATCACACTGTCGTTCGTCCCTGTTAAAGGTCCTAAATAACATTGATTTATTGTTTCATGTTGAGCATTGGTAAAACAAGAGTAACATCATTGAAGAACATCTGGAAGTCAAAACAACTATCAATCAACATTAAAGTCATAATTTTTCAATAGAAAAGTCAGGATAGTATGGAAAGGGAAAATGGCAAAACCACGACAGCTATCCTATACAAGATACAAGTGTTAATTAACAGTTGTCTGTGTAAAATACTTCACATCTGTTTAGCCAGATACCATCTGTGACAGCCTACTATGGCAGAGAACAAACCAGCTTCTAGAAGAGGAAGAAATTAGGGAAAACCATTGGAGATGGATAGGACGCATATTAAGAAAAACACCCAAATACACCACAAGACAAGCCCTCATTTGGAATACCAAAGAAAAAAGAAAAGAGGTAGACTGGAAAAAAAATCACTCTGAGAATTGGAAGAAGACGTGAAAGTAATAGAAAGCAATTGGATAGACCTGGAATAAGAAAGCTCAGGACAGAGTAGGTTGAAGAATGCTGGTCAGCCGCCTATGTTGCATTAGGGGTTACAGGCTTAAGTAAGTAAGTAAGTAAGTACTCTTTCGTTTTAAATCACTTTTGTCAATTTTCTACTCACTTATGTAATAACAAAAAAAAACATCCAATTTTAAATAATAATAGTGGTAGGATATTTGCATTGAACACAACAGATTGTAATCGTAATTAAATTGAAGAATGTATATGAGAAAAATCACAATGTCTAGTATGTTTCCGTTATCATTACCAAGTTATACCTAACGTTTAAACACTGGTTGCTTTAATATACAAAGATCAGGTGTGTAGATTGAATTGCCATGAGTTCCACAGATCGTAACAAGACAGGGTTAAATAGTTTGTCGAATACTTTGAAGTATTATTATGTCTTCATTTAAACTTATGTCTATCAGGTGGCGATCTCCACCCAGAGCCCATCTAGGGTTACTTCCGATCCCAAGCTCTCATAAATGACGACGGTTAGGCATGGGCGTTACCGACCTAATCCCGTAGAAATCCAACTCGCTTAAAAAAAATCGCTAACCAGAAGAATAGTTCGCTGGTTAGCCGCTTATGCTCCCTTAGGGGTAACAGATGTAAGTGAGTAAGCAGCAGGTGAAGAATGTTTTGTCCTCAGAGGTGTACTATTTAAGGAATATGTTCATTTAAACGTGTAACACGTTGTCTTTCAGCTTTTGTTTATGTACATGTAGACTGAGATATCTAATTGATGGTGAAGTGGGGTGCAGATTTGTCAACCTTTGTTTGTATCACTGAATGTGAAACTTAAAACCAAGCAGAAAGCTTTTGATTGACTTTTATTTAGTTTTACGCTGGATTTGTTGAATATACATATATGTCGCTGCTAAATTTCCGGGAATTCACCAGTCATTTTCACTTTCATGAAAAACCTTAGATAAAAATGGATACACACTGTTTCAGATGTCTTCAACTGATAATTACCAGACAACAAGCTTGTTACGTCAGCTAGCAGCTGTTCGATGATCATAGTTTATTTTCTTCAGCTCCGTCCTACTTTATGGCAGTGAAACATGGTCAGATAGGGTAGAAGATATTCCTAGATTATTGGCTTTCGATCATAGGTGTCTTCGAAGTATTGGTCCTGTATCCTTTGGCAAGCGAGTAGGCAAATCTATTGTTAGGAAACGAGTAATAGGTAAGGATAGCAAGTCAATAAATTAAGTAGTGAAACTTCATCAGTTAAGGTGGTTCGGACATGTGTTACGAATGCCCAACCACCGACTGTCTCGTCCAGCTATGTTTTGTGGTTTAGGGGCGGCCAAACCAAAACATGGCAGAAATCCATGAAGTCACTGACAAGTGGACTGAGTCATGTTGGTAAATGTAGACTACCTGGTTGGGGTCCGCGAGACGAAACTCACCAATGGTTAGAGATCTTGAATGACATGGCTCAAAATCGTTTTCAAAGGCACAGGTGCATTCATTCTTTGTGTTCTCTCAAATTCTAATCTTCTGAATTTGTCATCACCTTTCTCTCTATCTTTCTAAATTTACTTCACTGAATAATACTTCTTGAGTAATTTTTTCTAACCCTAATCTCCCCGATTACTGCTCATGCAACTGCTACCTCTACTACAATGGGATTTGAATTGAGAATTGAGTCTCTGTGTTTGTTGGGGATGTTAGATCCCCAGAACTCGCTTGATAAATGTCTTAACTTTGGATTTCACGTTTGCCAGCATGGGCTGATCAGTTGACCTTGAGATTTCATTTCCCACCAAGAAAATCCATGGCTGTGATTAGCTGCTGTGTATTTTAGTAGGCTATTTTCTTAACTGTCCCAAGGACGTTTCTATGATGGATGTATAAATAAACGAGAGTTGTATGCTTAATTGTATTGTATTGTGATTGCTGGGTGTTTGTAGAATATACTTTCTACGCTTACAAAGGCCTTCTATCTTCAGCTTGGAATTCAAGGTAGCCCATCTGGACGCTGGTAACTGTCTCGTTCGCGTTTGTCGACTAAGGTGAACTCGTAATAGCTTCAAGCGTACCTAGTCACGAACCCTACAGTGCTGATGTGTTATGGCAACCTGAACTGATGTACATATGAACGAAGTTCTACGTTTTAACTGACCGACTATGTTTTTTGAAAAATCAATTTGGTGGTGAATGATACGATGAAAATTTAAAAGGACAAAAAA